CCTTGATCTAAATAATATTACTACTAAAAAGCTAGAATCAAGACACACAACTATAGTTTTCATGGATGATATCATATGGATAGCAAGGTCTAAAGAAAATATGAAAAAGATCCTAGAAACAGTAAAAATTTTTTACAAAGCAAATGACTTCAGATTGACAATAACAAGTTAGTTTTGGTTACTATCCATAATCTTAATCACTATCCAGAAGAAGTTCATGCAAGAATCAATAAATAAGTAGTTAGAGAGTTAGATAGAAGAGAGTAAGCAAGATTCCTAGGAATATGGACAGACAACCTGAAAACTGCAATTGAACTCAAAGAAAGGATCTTAAAAGAAATCAATACTGTTACGAGAATTCTCAAAAACAAGAAATTGATCAATAAGCAAGTCCTTTATATATTAAATAGAGTATTGATTTCAAGAATAGAGTTTAGAATGCAGTATAGCATATTGTTCTAAAAAATATGCAATAACTTGACAGCAGCATATCATAAGCTCTTCAAAAACAAAGCAATCTTATGTAAATCTATCCTCAACAATATGATTCACTATTCAAAGATACACAATCTTAAAAGTATATGGATGCTCCAAAAAAAAAGTCAAATAATCAGACTTTGTAATAGAATAAAGGATTAAGATCTAGCAGGGCTTATTACAATTATCAGATTGAAACGAGCACAAATTAAATACTGGGAGCCCCACAATCTTCTTTCATGTGAATCCTTAGGTCCCCTCAATAATAAAAGAAATTTTACATTACAAGTTCTAAAATTAATTAAAGATTTGGAACCAACTTTTCAGAGCTGGAAATAAAATAATATTTCGAATGGACCAAAGGCAATAATTCAATTCAAGAACACTTAACAAGTGAAGAATATAGAAAGGCAATATTCTTATTGTGAAATAACAGGTTAATGTATATAAACCAGCTACTAAACCAAAATCCCACAAAGTTCAAAAAGTGGAGAATGATTCAACTTATCCAGTATACTAGCAAAGATCCTATCTCAAGATGGTATGATATCCTACAAAAAACTATAATCAAAGAAAGTATAGAAGATCTTACAACACTTTGAAAAAAGGGATAGAAAAAAAAGTGGCTACCAAAATGCACTAAACCTAAACCTGGCAAAGATAAATGAAAGAAACCTGGATAGTTGCCCAAAAAGAGAATCAACAAATAATATAGAGAAAACTAATTTAAGAGAACAGCCAAAATACTGTGATAATTCATTATTCAACTATCAGGAAACAGAAAATAGTCTAAAAACAGTTCTTATCAAATGTGCAGAATGCTCATTAAACAATAGAAATGGAAATAAATGTAATATAGAAATAAAATCAGATTTGATCTATACTATACCATTCTTAAACCATCAAAAAAATACTAGGTGAACACAATTACTAAAAGTTCCTTGTTTCCTATTGGAACTAGATAGTATAATTATCAAAAGCATAGTCCCAGAAATCCAAGATCCGACAAATGACCAAATTGAAAAAATGGAACAAGTATTAATAAAAGATTGGAAATAAGAAATACTCAAAGACAATATAAGCAAGGAGTATATCAAGATCACCTACTTGAAATTCTTCAGCACAATCAATAATCACAGGAGAAGCTAATCTTCTACTCTGATAGATCCTTAATCGACTATGGGAATAAGAATGCAAAAATGGATGTAGTATGGATATAAATAGAAGGAGCTAGAAAAGACAGTAAATTTTAGACAGGAGTCAAAAACTGGCTCTCATTCACAAGGGCAGAACTTGTAGCATTAGTTACAATAGCTTTAATAGCTCTAATAGACAGTACTATTAAGATCTTCACAGATAGTCAAGTCTGCATCTCTAAATAAAAAAAGTTAGAGAAAGAAAATCTGAAGATGATATATAAAAGATAGTTAAAAAAAAAAGAATTGGTCATTATGGGTATGAATACTAGATCTTGTAAAGAAAAAGCATATTCAACTAACTTTGACCAAGGTTAAAGTCTATTCTAATAATCCATGGAATAAAGAAGCAGACTGACTAACCAAAAAGGCATTAAAGCTATCAGCAATAGAATGAAAGAGTCTCAAATTAAGCAAGATACTTATAGAATCTATATAGCAAGAAGAAGTGGTAGACGGTCTAATATGACAGTTCATCAAATAAATTAATAAAAGATTAATGGCTCTATCATAGACACAGTAATATAGAACAGAGACAAAATGATATTACCAAGTTCACAAGCATCAAACCTACTTATGAGATCTGGTATGAGATAGGTTAAAGAACAGAAATACATGGGATATCTCCTTCAAAAGCTTACAGAGAAAAAGTTTCCTGATTAAATTGACCAATGATGAACTACTTACCTTAAGCAAGCTAGTAATAAGAAAACCAGACCTATACAAGCAAACAAGATATATAGTATGCAATCAGTATCAAGAAACCATAAAACATTTATTAGAATGTTCTGGTCATAAGATTGAGATTCTAGCAGTATAACAAAAAAGATCTGAGACTTTCCTTAAAGAATTCAACAAGTTGTATCAAGAACGTAAGAGAAAAATAGATGAAAAAATGGTATAACTAGCAGTCAACAATAAAAGAGAAAAATGTGAATTAGATAAATTGACCTCTAGACTAATAGAATTAGCCTCACAAACTGGTTCAAGCACTCTTAACTTTTGCATAGAATTAGTAAAAGGTGATACAATTAAAGAAGCTGCTAATCTAAACTGTTATGGAAAGAAGCTAGGAACAATGGCAAAAAAATGGATTCTAAAAATATAAAAAAAGGTTTGCAATCAAATCTGAAAACAAGTCTGGAATGTGAGATATGAAAAGATTATTGAATGAGAACAAGAACAAAGAATTGATAGAAAAGTAAAATATAAGAAAGTTCAGGAAGCAAGAAGGCAAGACTCGCAAGATAATTCTAGTCACAAAAGCATAAAGCAAAGAGAAGAAGTGAAAGAAAGTGAAAACAAAAATATTGTAGAAATTATAAGAAATGGAATTAAATATAGGATGAAGTGATTGGGTTTTGATCCTTGTCAGAATATTATGCAGTGATCTGTAACAAGGACCTGCAGGTGATGATATTAGAAATTGGAAGGGTTTCAACCTGAACTACTAATGGAATGATAAATCACACCCAAAGTTGCACTTAGAGTTTTAGATAAATATAAGACTTTGACAAATAAGTTAGTTATAGATTTAACTTTAGCAACATATATATAATATATAGCTTACATCATCAGATCAAAAAACAACAAGAATATACTTGGGATCTAGCATGGGAAAGAATGAATGAGCATACATGTGACACATCTTTTAAAGACTTATAGAGAGAGAGCTTCCTTATTAAATTAACAAGCGATTAGCTATCAACTCTAAGTAAACTGGCAACAAGAAGGCTGGATCTGTATAAGCAAGTGAAATGTATTGCATATGGCCTCTATAAAGAAAAAACAATTGATCACCTGCTAGAATGTTCAGCTTACAAGGAACAGATGCAAGAAGTATGGAACAAAGATCTCGAAGGGGTTCTGAAGAACTTTAGAGAACTTCTACAAGAAAGAAAAAAGAAAGTGGCTGAGAAGAATGTAAAACTAATAATAGAGGATAGAGAAGAATTGGAAGAAATAGATAAGTGAATATCCAGGCTGGTGGAACAAGCTTTGACAACTAGCCAAGATACGTTGAGCTTCTTTGCAAGATTGATAAGAAGCAACCTTGTTCTCAAGATGGCAGATCTTAGATGTCATGGTAAAAGAATCGGAAAGGAAACAAGAAAATGGATAAAGAAGATGTAGAGTATAGTATGCAACCAATTTCGTAAGAAGGTTTGAAATGCAAGATGCGAAAAAATCATAGAATAGGAAAAAATACAAGGGATCCAAAGAAATAATAAGATGAAAAGACCTTCAAGCCTTCCTGGTCCAAAACCTAAAACTGCATTGCCAGAAAGAAGAGGTGCTCCATTAATAGAAGAAGGAAGATTGAAAGATCAAGATCTCACAGATATCTTATCAAAAGGAATTAGATTCAGAATAAAATAGTTGGGTTTTGAGTTCTGTCAGAACTGCAAAGAGTGATCTGCAGTAGTGACCTACAGGCAATGATATTAAAAGTTGGAAGGATCTTTACCTAAACTTTTAATGGAACGAAAAATCACTTCCAAAGTTATACTTAGAGTAATTATTGAGACAAGTGAGATAGTTAAAGTTTTAGCTTTAGCAATTCATACTATATGTATAGCTTACAATTGTTTAATAAAGCACACATAACTAGCTTGACAGAGGGTTTTAAAAAAAAATAATAATAATAATGTATAACTTACAATTGTTTAATAAAGCACATATAACTAGCTTGACAGAGGGTTAATTAAAAAAAAAAAAGAGTTAGTTGCTTTGTGAAAGTTTGTAAACATTGTGATATCTTTCAATATCTCAATAAAACACACCATTGTAGCATGATTGTGGATTAAAAAAAAAAATAAATAAATTTTATAAAAAGAAAGAAATACATACTTAAAATAATAAAAGATAGATAATAAAGAAAATATTTGAACCACAATAATATGTTTAATTAAGAGTTTTTATTTGAATTACTTACAAAATAAAAGATTATTTTGGCTACTGGTTAATCTAGTTTATTCTTTTATTTAAGAAATCAAACTAATTAACTATATTACGTAAACAATACAAAATACTAGCTTGATCCTGTAATCAATGGAGGTTTGTAATTACTTAACTGCAAAAAAAGGAAAGAGAAAAACATCACGCGATTAATACGTATCGCAAATAACCATAAAACCTAGACTTTTTTCTTAGCGCACCGATTGATTGTGCAAAAAAAAAAAAACTGAAAATTTGCGATCGAAAGTAACCTTGCAAGTATTGGGCTGTTAGTAACAAGAGTATAAGTTTGGAGAGAGTGTGTGTGTACTTTACCAACAAGCAGATCCCAGTGCTTTGGAGACGATCAGCCAATTTCTTCGCGTTAAGATCCTTTAAAAATGTTACCTAACTCTTCGTCTAAACATAAGGATAATAAGGACGAAAAAGAATTAGAAATATCAGAGGTGCTGAAGAAATGGTTAGAACCTAGGATTGGTCCAAAATTACAAAAAGGTCTAACGGTTGAACAAGCTTGGGAAGACATCGTTAAAGACATTGCAATAAAGGCTTTATCACCACTCTCCCTGAATGTTTTTGCAAACGCACTCACCAGGTTATCTAATATGGATCACAGAGGCCGGCTAGCTTTGGTGGAAAAATTGCTTACTATTTCACCGACTCCTGATTGTGCCACCGGTGCTAGGGCCGATAGAATTCGCGAAATAATGATAGCAACACTATCACCTCAGGACAATCCTAATGGAACCACCTCAATTGAAATCAATCCTAATCTAATCGACGTTGCCGAAACTGTCTTGGCGCAATCTCATAGAGATTGGATAAATACGCGTGAAGCGCTTTCGACGTTCCTTAAGGACTGCACTGCGAAATTCAGCTCAGACCATAATGTATACATCATATATCCGCACATCCATGATATTTCAAGGAATTTGTTTTTCGATAAGGAAATGAGAACTAGCCTAGAATACTTCTTTTCATGTATTCAAGACGTCGCCAACAAGAAAGGCATCAAATTTGCGGATCTTATTAAGCCCAAAGTATTGGATTGTGAAAAACAAACGTTCGAAGAACTTTTTTCTAAATATTTTCCAAAGGGATTGAATTTATTAAATGAGGATCAGGTTGGGACCGAAGAATATGAAAAGAGTCGTCGAATGCGTCTTAGAACACCGCTGGAACTTCGACCTCGATGGCACAATCAACAACACATGATGCTTTTGACATTGCAAAACGCACCAAATTATACAATGGCGCGTACAAATCTCATTGACGCAGCATTGGCCTTAGATGAAAAGATAAGTGATGAGACAGGCTTACCACGTTGTTTTACTGGTCAGGTGTGTAGCTCGCTATTCTTAGAGATTTATCCTGTTTGAAAATCGAACTCGGGCAACCATCCAAGTTATCTAAAATTCTATGAACACATCGTATAGACACCAAGGAATTCCGCCAGCGCTTGTTTGACAACCAATGCTGACAAATATTTTGTGCAATTCAAAAAAGATCGTTCACAAACATCATATTACAAACTCTCGTTCATACCTAATGACATGAATGATGCTATCGAGCATTACAACAGTTGGATGGATAGATTGATCGAATATGATTGGCCTTTGTGTTTTGGAAAGGTTAAGAAAAATAAACAAGGTCAGCATGAACCGATTATTCGAATTGTGGAATCTCATTATTTAATGTTTACTTAATTTTTAGGTGCAAACTTAATAAATAGCGGACGCGTAACTATGTTAAGTGTCGGTGCGAGCAATCCTTTACATCTACGATGCAGGCGTTGCGCACCAGAAACCTCTTGTGACATAAAGCTACCATCGTGCTCTAGATGCAAATCTCGAGGATACCTTTGTATTTACCCATTGAGAGCTGATGTATGCAACGAACGACCGAAAATAAGACTAAGGATCAAGGATTCATCAAACCCCCATAATATCGATTCAGAAAAAGCTCACGTCGGAATGAAAAGTAAGAGAAAGTTCATAATTGATAAATTCAAAGGAAGAAGGATTGCCAATGATGATCTTGACAGGACGGATGATATTCCATTTTCTCTTTCAGAAGAAACTTTAGCTGGCATTGATCTCACAGGTGTTCCCAGAAGTTTGGATGATGTGGTTGAAGTTCGAACGTCTAGCATACCTAATGCAGGCAATGGTTTGTTCGCCAAACGTAATCTTCCAATGGCAACACCCCTGGGATTCTATTTTGGGGTTCCGATGATGGAAGATGAGTTTGACCAGGTAAAGGATAAGGTCGGAAGGGCTTCTCATTATTCAATGAGATACAAGCACACGATTCTTGACGCAACCGACGAAAATGGTGAACCTTTTACGGACCCAAAAGGTGTACCATATTGTCCTTTTCATTTTATGAATGAGGACCCATTTGGAAATATGGTGTTTTTAGAGGGCAATGAAGTTAACCAAGTCATATGTTGGACCAAGCGAGACATTAAGAAAGGAGAAGAATTATTCGTATATTACGGCGGTGAAGTTGACAGGGGGCACTGGGGCCAAGCCGAAGGTGCCGAAGAACCAGTTGCCTGCCATGGGGACAGCGAAGAGGATGACATAGCGTTCAGTGAAACTGATTTTGAAGATGACGAAGTGTTATTTGATGATAACGAACAAGAGGAGGAAGACCCAGGTACACCGATTAATGGAAAAAGGAAAGCACCAAGCAGTGCCCAAGATACTTGGGAAAATGTATTGCCTCTGAAAAAGAGAGGAAAGGGAGATGCCACGAGCGAACAAGATTCGTCCGCAGATTTCGAAGAGACGATAGGTCAATCCGAGGATCCAACATCAATAAAACAGGAAGGGCCTAATGGGACAAAAGAAATCGGGGAAGATTCGAGCGAGGATCTGCTTGAAGAAAGATCGGGTGCCGTTTCAGATTCGTCTACAACAAAAAAAAAGATAGAAAGGTTAAACGGAAAAGAAGCTGAACATGCATCCGATGTTCCAAGTGTAGAAGACGAAACTGTAAAGAAGGGAAGGACCAGTAGGTTAAAGAAGAATAATTATGAGGACGATTCAGCTGATGCGGATTCTGAGCAGGTTGTGAGTTTGTCATCCTCGAAAAAGAGGATGATAGGGAAAAGACGACGACGATAAAGATGTATTCATTTTTGTTCGCACCTGTATTAGACATTGTTGCTGGTATTTATATAAAATCTTGCCGTAGATGTCTTGAAATTTGTTTATACCCATTTTATATATAAGGTCAAATTTAATATAGCGCATACTTTCTTGTGGCCCTCCATTTTGTAGATATTCGCAATGTGCATAGGTGCTTTTAAAATTATCATTTGTTATAAAATACACGGCAGGGTACATAAAACAACATATTATGTTAGATTTATTAAATCATAATCGAGGTTAAGCAGTATTATGAACTCCTTATTTAAATGAAAGGTTTATCGAATTCTGAAGGTTAATTATAATATCACCGGTACGTTGGTGATCGATCAAGCATTAGTTATTTTAAAAGGTATATTGCTACATAGCGCAATTAAGATATTTAGCAATGAGATAAAAGCAACTTTCTTTCCGATGATATTTATTAAATATCAAATTTTGAGTTTAAATAGTATGCAAAAAAAAAAAAAATAATAGATGTGACAGGTGTTTTTCTCAGTTACATGCAATATAGAAATTCAAGATAAAGATCGAATATACTGTATGTCATCAATTAAAGATTTAGGCAATTGTTGCATTTTATCATTCTGCAGACGTAAGTACCAGGATAATATGTCATGAAAATAACTCAAATTTCCATTAGAGAGTTTAATTAAAACTTGGGCAGCTTGAACTTGCAACGTGAAGGAAACTAAAAAGTCAAGGATCGAGTTAAACGTGTTGTCTTAACAATAAAGGATAAAAGAGAATGATATATACCAGGACAGTTCTCATTTAATGACAAAGATACTCTTCGTCTTATCTCATCAACTCCCATCTTGTCTTCATGCTCCGTTAACCTTGGGCGACATATCGCCCCGATAATCTCCAAAGGAATATCTCTTCCCTTTTCATCTTTAACAAGGGGCCAGAGAATTTTTCCAATGAACTTGTCGAATACTTCATCCCATTTCAACCAACAAGTTGCGAGTTCGAAAGACTTTGTGAGGTTAAAGCAATATTCTCGGAATTTCTCTAATAAGAAAGAAGAGTATTATAAATCGCAAGAAAATTTGTTGTAGTGAATTAGTGATATATACCTTGATGATATTCGTTAGAACAACGATTATGAAATTCTTCGGACTGCAGAATGTCTACAAGGCTTTGCAAAATTTCTTCTAAAGGTGGCACCTGTGAAGGTAGACTCCATGAGCAACGACAGATAAATGTTTCATACATTTTGTAGACCTATTTCCCAGAGTCAATTATTCAATATTGTTGATGCGAAAAAAAAAAAAAAAAATTGATATGCCTTAATTACCGATTCATCGTGTATCTTATCAATGAAAATGCCAGCGACGACACTCTCGATCGTACGTAAAACGAACGATTCATCTACTGTAAATCCAAGAAAAATAAGTGAACATCAATGAACTATTACTGGTTAAAGAATCTTGTAACACTATGACAATCCGAACCTATAGAAAATGTGTCTACTTTGAAGTCTTTGTCCGAGTCTTTTAGGACCATGGGCCAAACCTTTGCGATGTTTTCAATTAAATATTGAATACATCTGCGATCCGTTTTCTCTCGTAGGATATCGTAGCACAATACCCGAATTCGCTGGGAATCTTTAATAGTTCTACAAAGTGCCACAAATATGCGACACCAACGACTAAAAAGAAAGCTCAGATTTTATTAACCGAGAATTTTGAAATTTATTTGCTTATACACACCAGCAATATGTTAAATCAGCCAAATCATCAAAATTGTTTCCAAATAGAATGAATTTGTCGTTGACCCAAGGAATTATCTTTTCCAACAGGCTATTCTAGTACACACAGAAGAGAAGGAGACTTAAAAAATTCAGAATAATCCCTTTCCGCGCATGAACAAATATATCGAGATGCAATACCGTGGGAAATTCGTTAAGGAGAAATAGTAAAAACAGTAAAATGTCGATTTCTTTCTGAGGCAACACGGCAGGCATTTGGACCAGGAAAGTGCCTTTTCGTGAAAAATTTCTTAACGCATCATCCTTGCTATTAGATTCCAAATACGCTGGTGTGTCGATGTCGCGAATCAATTCGTCAATTGCTTGTAGGAAAACTGCGCTTTTCTCGAAGGCAAATTGTTGTAGAACATCCATAGATCGAAAGGCTTCTTGAGAGGAAGTTCCAAATTCACTAATCTTTTCTTTTATGACTGTTCAAAAAATGATATATGATCTAGTATATATGTCACGTTTAAAGAAAAAAAAACCCCCCGAATTTTCTTCGTACTTACAAGTCGAATCATCAATGTGATCAAAAAATACTTTGTTTTTTAATACAGTCTCAGTCTTTTTACTGATTCTTCTTTTTTTTGGCTGCTCTGAACCAGCCGACAAAACATTCAATGCAGGTGAGGTGACTTCAGGATCTTTCCTTTTTCTTCCGGGATTCCTTTTCGTCGGTTTCATTGTATCTTCCAAAGTGATTATGGTAGTAGACTTCACATTTCTTGTAGGGCAATTATCTGTACGTGCATCTATCGATTTACGTCTTTTAAGCTTATTCACGTTACTTCTGTCATCTATCACATCCTTTTCAGAAGTCGATGGTTGCACATCGACCCTTGAACCTATGAGTTCCAGAGGGGAGGTTGCAAGAAATTGCATGGAAGAATCACAATCAGGTGAAATATTTAAATATTGGTCCTGCGGTGACGATTCACTTTGTTTATTATATAATCGTTCGATTTCCTAAAAATGTTGGTTTTAGAATTCGAGCCGGGATCTCTATGATAACAATAATAAAAAAAACTTTTGATAGATACATTAACACGAGAAAGGGAAACAGATCTCCGAAACTTTCTTAACCTCGATATTTCTACTTGTTGCGCAGTAACTAGGTCTTGCAGGGCTTTCTGAAAATGAAAATTCACTGAATATGATAAATCTTAACAATTCGGAATCCTTAAAGTCATTACCTTTTGAGTTTCTAGGTTTTCTACATCATATTTCATGGATTGAATCTCCTCTATTAGTATAATAACATGCTGGCTTGTTTCTTTATCTCTTTGAGCGAAGACATTGACCGATTTTTCGTTTTCATGATGTATTAGTTCTTGTACATTGTTTATCTTCAAATGGAGATCCTGCGTCTCCTTTTTAAACCTTTCAAATTCATCACTCCGCTTTTTAAGCCTACTCATCTCTCTGCTCTGTTCTAAAAGCTCTTTATTTATTCTCGTATTCACAACTTTGGTTTGTTTAATTTGCTTCTTTAACTCTTCGAGTTCTTTTAAATTGTCAGCATGAGATTTCTCTATAATGGTGAGCCTGATTATTTCCTGTTTCATATCTTCAACATTAGTTTCTTGCCGTCTCAATTCTTCCAATTGTTGGTTCAAGGACTCGATAATTGTATCCTTTTCCAGAGACGACATCTCTAAAGTACTAATCCTATTGCATAGTGCCTCCTTAGACTTCTCTGTATCTTTCTGAAGTTTTTTCAATTTGAAATACGCAGAAGCTTTTTCCGATTGACTCTGTTTATATTGTTGTTCCCTTATTTCGAAAAAAAAAAAAGGAAGGAATAAATAAACATGAATGCTAAAATTAGTAATTTTAAAAAAGAACAAAGGAAATTTAAAGTAATACTTCATCTCCAAGGACACCTAGTAGTAGTGCAATACTAGAGTCCAGCGGAGCATAGTGGTGTGCAATACTAGCGCCGCAAAAAAAATCAAAATAAATAGTTCAATGGAGGATATGGAAATAATCCTAAAAAAAAAATGTATAATATTAATTCACGAAAGCTTACTTTCTTTCGAGTTCTTTCTTCAATCGTGCAATCTCCTTTGTTTGATTCTCCTGCAAATCCATCGCGGCTTCATTTTCCTGCACTTTGCACTCTAATTGACTTTTCAACACCTAATAAAAAGTTTTTTTTTTTTTTAAAGTATTTGTCTAAATCCCACCGAGTCAGTAAGCGCATTAGTTACCTCAAGTGATTTGTTTTTTTTTCCCAGTTTTTCATTTTCGATCCGAAGTCGCTTGAGTTCATTTGTTAATGTTGCCTGTTCTTTTAGCTGAACTTCTTTTTGTCCCAATTCCTTCTTAATCTTGTCAAATTCGGAACGAAACTGTTGTGCTGCCTGTCGAAAAACTTCATTCTCCTTGTTTAATGATGCAGTCTGTGTCTTCATTTTTGAAAGTTTTTGCTCCAGGGACGCGATGCATTCTTTATGTTGAGCTAGTTCTTGATAGGATATATAAAAAAAAAGTCAGAAGACGCGCCACATAAATGTTAGAATATCTAATTATAAATTACCTTTCTCTTTAGTCTTAAAAAGTTGTAATAGTTGATTTGTTTGAATTATACGTTCCTTGATTTTTTTTATGTTCTCTGTTACTTTAGGTTTAGAAAGCTTTTCCGAGCTCACTGGAGACTTCGAATCAGATAGAGGCTCCATTAGCAAGAAATACGGTATGTGCGCAAATACTCATACTTATAAACCTAGGTTGATCAGGTGATCTATTTAATTAATTCAAAAAACTGTTTAATTTTAATTTTTTTTTTAATGCTGGCAAAGTCATACTTTATTGATTTTATTAGAGTAGCAAGAGAAAAAAAATTATTCTAAACCTGTGTCCTCAAACTTCCTATCTAATAGAATAAACAATAGAAAACTTCTGGTAAGAATTTTTTTACCTTGTGACTAGATCACCTTCTAAAAAAATGAGAAGACTAATATAAGAGTATATTAATATATAGATTGATTTTTAAAGGAAGTATATATCAAAATTGGATCTGTTTCAACTTATTGTGTTCAATATTTTCTATTTTATTTAACTATCAAAAATATAAATATAAACAAAACTATATAAACTTAAAATAAAAATAAAAATTTTATATTATAAAAGAGATATCAAAGAAAAAAAAAATAGTTTAATTATTATTTTTTTTTTTTTAACCCTAGGTCAGGCTAGGTATGTGTGCTTTATTAAACGTTTGTATACTATACATTTTAAATGATTTGCTAAAGCTAAGACTTTACCTAACTTACTCATCGCCATTTTGTTTTAATATACCAAAACTTTAAGTGCAACTTCGGGAGTGATTTATTGCTCCGTTAATGGTTCAGGTAAATACCCTTCCAACCTTTAATATCATTGCCCGCAGATCACCACTGCAGATCACTATCTGTTGTTCTGACCTAGCTTAAAACCCAACCACTTCATTCCATAAGTAGCACCTTTGAGTAGAATTTCTTTCAGGCTTTCATTTTCTTGAGT